GAAGAAGAGATCGCGAAAGAAATCAAAGAAAGAAAGAGAAAGGAGCCGCAACGCCTAACGGAAGAGAGGATAGCAGGGATGGACAGCGGAGATGGGAATTTGACCCCACAGGAGCGAGAACGTGTGATAGAAATCCTGAAGACATGTGATAAGGCCATAGCTTTTAGTAACGCGGAGCGCGGTAGGGTTGACCCTCGATACGCTAAGCGAGCAAGGATTTACACGATACCACATGTTCCCTGGAACAACGCGGGATGGAAGTACGCCCAGAAGGAGAAGGAAGAAGTTATCGCTTTCCTGAAAGAAAAGATGGTTTCCCATGTTGCGGAGCYGTCTGATAGCGCTTATGCWAATCGATGGTTCTTCCTACGAAAGCCGAATGGCAAGATCCGATGGATCCAGGACCTTCAGAAGGTCAACGCGGTGACGATACGAGACGTGGGCTCCGTGCCACCCGATTTACTGGCAGAAGGCGCCGCAGGTAGGTCGATTTATTCGGTCTGTGATCTGTTCTCAGGCTATGATGAGGTGCCACCTGACCCTAGAGACAGGCACCTCGCGGCTATGCATACGCCATTGAGACTAATACAGATGATGGTTGTCCCTATGGGTTGGACTAATGAGGTAGCCGTTTTTTAGAGAGCCATGGTAGCCGTCCTCAAGGACTTCATCCCTGATAAGGTTGAAGTTTTTCTGGACGACTTTCCTATAAAAGGGCCAGTAAACAAGGATGAGGCAGATGTTGCACCAGGAGTTAGAAGATTCGTCGAGCAGCACCTAACGGATATTTGCGAGGTACTCGAGCAGCTGGACGATGCGAATCTAACAGTCAGCGGAACAAAGAGCCGATGGGCCGTCTCGACTATTAAGATCTTGGGCTTTATCTGTGACTCGAGGGAACGCCGAGCAGATCCGGCGAAGTTAGACAAACTCCTGAACTGACCGTCACCATTACATAGTCGAACCGAGGTCCGGCAGTTTCTGGAAGTGGTCGGTTACTGGCGTATATTCATACGAGGGTATGCGGAGAAGGCTGAGCCATTGAGACTACTCCTTCGAAAAACTGAGAAATTCTACTGGGATTCCTCGCAGGAACTCGCTATGCAAGAGCTTAAAGATGAATTTAAGGAGGGAGGACGCGTACTGGGCGTGCCGTTCTTTGATGATGAGGCTGGGAGACCCTTCATAGTAGCCACGGATGCNATACGAGGGTATGCGGAGAAGGCTGAGCCATTGAGACTACTCCTTCGAAAAACTGAGAAATTCTACTGGGATTCCTCGCAGGAACTCGCTATGCAAGAGCTTAAAGATGAATTTAAGGAGGGAGGACGCGTACTGGGCGTGCCGTTCTTTGATGATGAGGCTGGGAGACCCTTCATAGTAGCCACGGATGCGAGACCTTGTTCGGTAGGAGGGTTGCTATCTCAGAAGGACGCGAAAGGGAAAGGAAAAGCCATAATGGAGGATGGAACCCCCTTGAGGCAATTTGAGGCAGGGGAGAGTTCCAAGAAAAGGAAAACAATAGAGAAGAGAAAGGTCAAAGGGTTAGCTTCAGGAAGAAAGAAGAGATGGTTATTCGTGCTCAAGCGAGCTAGACGGAGAGTTCGCGTTAGACGTACTGGCGGGTCAGCACCCTTCTCGGGGCAAAGACAGAAGAAAAAGAGGATCGTGTCGGGGCCAAAAACCAGAAGAAACAGGAGAGTCAAGAAGCATCTTCTTAGCCCCATGACTCATAACAAACTGAAACATAAGACAATTGAACGCCGACGTGGGCGTACTTTATGGGTCATCACCCTGAAGCTCGTCCGCTTCGTCTGATGTAAGTTGCTATGGCTCGACAAGGGCGTCGAGAAGTGGTCCGGGCTAACTGTCAGGCGGCCACAAGGGATGGGCCGCCTGAAAGCTGCGGCTTTGGGACCTAGGCTCAAAAACAAGTGTGTGTTTTGATGGTACTCTTGTTTCACGAGGCAACAAAAATTAGGGAAACTCAGGGCACCCCTAATTTTGTGCGCATTGAACCTTACGAGTAACCCTCAAAGATGGCAAAATGGGTAGCCGCTCCCGGCACATCTTGGAACCGTCACTTCCGCCCGTCCCGAGGCTAGACCTCAAATGGCCGGCTGCTAAGAGACATCGCGGGGGCTGACCCCGCGGTAACGCCTTTTGCAGCACACGATCGGGGCCGAGTGATGCCTCAAATTTTTGTCAATTTTGATGCCGAAATTAAAATGGAAGAGACGGTTAAAGATGGTGGGATGAGAGAGAAAAACAAAATATTCTTTGATTTCTATAATTTCCATGACATTTAATTTTAGTAGAAACTCCGTCCTTATTTTACGTTTCCGGCAATGAGATCAAAAACGAAGAAAAGAGATTAAACATGACAAAAAAAAAAAAGGGAAACAAAAAAATTTCAATCATTTGATTTAAAACCCCTTAGTGTTTATTTTTTGTGAAATTGTGACTATTATACTAATTCAGACAATAGAATTAGGAAGAGAGTGAAATGATTAAAACAAAGACGAAACGAACAGGAACTACTGAATATTCGATGCCTGGCCTGATTTTGTTTGGATTACCCACCGTCAGCCCGGAACCCCGAGTTGATCAAATTCTCAGAACTCTAACCCCTTTTGTTACTATCCCCTGATGATCGGGATTTTCCGCGTCGTTCTCTTGATTTACCTGACTATTGACCCTCTGAGTCAGTCCGAGGATGGTCACATGGGCAGCGTGAGACGGTGCTGCTTTGGACCAACGGTATGATATTTGGGTCGGTACGGACACCGGTTCGGAGGGGTTCCGGTTATAGTTCGGTGTTTTGGTTCGGGGTGAGCTCAGTATCAGTGCATTTCAGGTTCGGACATATCGGCGTGATTTATTGTCAGGCTTGGGGCTGCTACGACGATCTATTTCAGATTCGCCGCCGCCATAGCGGTTTATCCCGGGCACAGTGCTATCGCAGCCATTGATTTCGGATTCGGTATAACTCGACAGCGACATATTTTTTTTCCAGCTCGACAAGGGCTCGACATCAGCTTATTTCAGGCTCGAGCAGATCAGGGTGATTTATTATCCGGTTTGGAACCACCACATTGATTTATTTCAGGATCGGAACAGCTTCGACGTGACTCCGACTGTCTACTTCCGGATCAGCACCAACACGGCAATTTATTTCAACATCGAAACCATTGCTACATTAATTTTCTGGTTCGGTTTGGGGTCGACTGGCACGGTACGGGTTATTTCAGTTCTCTGCGACAACGATTGGATGTGTGTATGAAAAACGACTCCAATGATTGGTATGATTTGGTACGGGTGCTACGGTCGGAGGCATTGTCACGGAACAGTTGCTGCAAAATACCGCGGCCAGTAGCTGCAGTCCCAGACGGCTATGTCAATGGGACTCAACGGTTCAATATTGAGGCCCTCTTCATCATCTTGGGTATGTACGGCACTGGCGTGAGGCTTYGGTCTGTCACCGGACTGGTACGGTCCTTGGGCCAATACAGCCAGGTCACRGGGCCGCGGTACCATTATGCTCGGCACAGTTTCTGATTTGGTAACTARGACASTTCTCTTTGATTTYGACTGCAACGCCTATCGGTACCGTTGGACTGGAATTCCCACAGTACGGGGGTACCCAGGCCCTCAGCAGCATGTGCTCCGTAAAAGGCTACGGTCGCAGCATATAGGGGAAGGCAGCGAAGAGAGGGGGGACGCACTCCGTACGAGCAAGGTGTACCCGCRTATGCAAGCGCGGGGAAGACGCGCCAGCGCTGAGGCAGTTACTCCGCGTGTGAGGGGAGTGACGTGGGGGAAAGGAGCATGCAAGGTGTACCTCGCCCACAACATAGTGGGATCCAGGCAGGTCAACGCATTGGGGGCAGCATGCAAGGCGTTCCCCGCCCATGTAGCAGGCACAGAGGGGRTGTGCGGAGAGACKGAGAAAGAGAGTGAGAGGATCAGACTGCGCAGCGTGCTCGAGAGAGAGGGAGAGAGACAGGGGGACTTGCCTTTGGGCGGCGTGCCAGGTGTATCTGATGTTCCGTTAGCACCTGTGGCACGGGGTAAGGGGGAGAAATTGATTCCGGCAGGGTGCCAGTAGTACGGGGCGCTAGCTTGACTGAGAGGTGATGGTTCGGGAAAGAGACTTGGAGAGACGCGCCAGGCGTAGCCAGCTGATGATCCAGCAGCAAGGGAATCTGCACGCTCTCGGTAATTGCGGGAGCACGGCGTGCGCGACTGYCAGATGGGCAACACGAAAAGGGGAATGCGGCTCTACTGCAGATGGGATCTGCTACCCCACGAGTGAAAACACCAATCACACTCTACTGCAGATGAGATCTACTGCCTAACGAGTGAAAGCACCAATGACACCCTTTTGCAGATGAGATCTGATGCCTCACGAATGAAAACACCACTCACACTCTACTGTTGATTAGATCTGCTGCCTCACGAGTGAGAACACCAATCAACATCTACTGTTGATGGGATCTGTTGATGGAATCTGCCACCCTATGCGAGAAGCCAACGGCCACTTTCCACAGTTGGTGGGATTTGCTATCCTGCAAGGGAGAAYTACAGCTATATTCGGTCGMAGATGGAATCTGGTAATCCGCTAACGGAGAGARCCACSAAGTTCTGTAGTAGATGGGATCCRCCAGTCTGCTGGTGACACTGTTGAAGAAACCAGCCATGGCGCTGGGCAGAGGCAGATTCAACTATACCTCTGGTTGATGAACCGGTGATACTCGTGGGAACCCAATTTATCCGCTCCGTTGACCCCAGAACCAGCCACTCCTAAAGAAGGGAAACTTATGAGATCAGGTAAGTTGTACGCGAAGGCTGGTG